TTTTCTGCGTGACGTTATACTTTTTTCAATGTCAGGGTGCCCCCCAACTGCAGCAGAGCTTGTAAGTAAACGGACATTTACTATTATTTATGATCAAAATATAACGCTGAGATTCTTATTTAACTACAAGCTGTCCCGACCTGACGGTGCCAGTGTATTAGTGTATTAGACACACAATTAGCTGATCGCAAAACTGTATCCCTGTGGTATGAAAAATGATATCATAGATCTGTTGATAGCTATTGATACTATCGATAATCATATAAATAATATTAATTTATTACAAATTAGAAACATGTTCTATCGGATCAAATTGTGAATCGAAACCTTTCCTAACCGTACTTTCTCTCTTATCCTAACTTTTAACTTTAATATTCACTCACACCTAGTAATCGAGAAATTGACTACGTACAAAATATAAGATACCCTTTTTTTTTTAATTAAAAAAAGTTTTAATACAAGTTTTTGAGAAAATCGTACATGCTTATTCAAAATGTTTTAAAAAATGTATAAGGCGCTATAATTTGGAGTTTGCAAAATATATACATTTATTAGGAGTTTTTCTCAATTTTGTCGCCTTTAGACACATTACGAATAAATGCCGTTTAGCCTTAGGAGTATTTAGATATTATTTTTAATATATTTTGTTTGTAGCGCATACGTGTTCATTTATTATTTGCAAAAATGTTAATTTTTTATTTGTAATAATTTATACTTAAGACGTTACAGTTTAAAACGCTGTATATTGTGGAACACTTGTGAATACAAAAAAAAATTATTGTCTTTAATTTTTAATATCGAGAAAAAACCCAAAAAATGTACACATTTTTCCATTTGAAATAATTTCAAACTATTTTGAAGTTTTGGAAGGTTAATTTTGGAAGTGATTTCTCCCTCCCCCTCTCATGCTCGGTCATTACTTTCTGGCTTTTCTAGTTTTGCTTTTTTATTGTATACGAACTTTGCTGTAAAGCGGATACATATTACATTTATGTGAAATAACAAAGGTTTTAAATTTTTTTGCGTACATATAATATTTATAAAATAAATATGAGTTAACAAACACTCCTCTCTTGGCCAAGTTCATCGTATAGTTGATATCATAGCTCAGTCCCTAGTAAACAAAACAATATTGTACATGCGTATTCTTAGACGTAGCCCAAGTGTTTGATCTAGTTTGGCACGCGGGACTCTTACACAAACTTCTTTTTTTACCGGTTCCCATACATCTAACAATCAAATCCTTTTTATCCAATCGTTGAAAATTAAAATTAAAAAAAAAAAATGAGAAAATAGGTGACTTCTTAACAAACCTGAATGTACAATTTGTTATCTTATCATATAGGCTATTTTACAGATTTATGTATAGATTGTTTATTAAAAAATAATCGATTCTGTATTTATGTAGCTAAAAATTTATTATTTTTTTAAATTAAAAAATCAGAACTTATACATAACCCTTTTTTCAATTATGCACAATAAAAATTAGGAAATGTGATAAATATACAGGGTGATCTAGTTATCGTAAACTACTCAATGTCTCATAGGGTTTAATAAGACATTAAAATTGTTTTTTTCATATTTTTTTTGGTTTTTACCCCCCTCCCAAGTTTTTTTTAGAGCAACTTGAAATTTCAAGTTTAGGGTAGAAGGAAAAGTAGAGTGTAGTATTATTTTTATCTGCACGCATTTCCCAACCGCACTTCTCCTCCCATCCTAACTTTAAAATTCTTATCGACCAGTCAAAAGTTTTAGTACATTATTTTCAACTTAAAAAGTTAATAAAATATATAATTTACCAAGTTTCAAAAGGTGCCATCAAAAAAACTAAGTTGGCAGGGGGTAAAAAGAAAAATAATTGTGAACAATTGAGATCACATTGTATAAAAACAATATGAAAAAAAAATAAATTTATTATCAAATTCTATGAGATTTTGAATGGTTCACGATAAGTGGATCATCCTGTATATATAGCCAGTTGTGGGAAAAAACATCCTGGCTGGTTAACTACAATGGTATTGTATTGGCTTAAATATGATTTTAATTAAGAACAATGCAGGGTACGAAAATTAATCCTACATAATATTTTACAAACTTTTTCTACGAAACTAAAAAAATAAGACACTAAAAACAATGAAAATGTATTGTGTTTTTGTTAAGGAGGAAGAGCTATAAGATTATCGGTAATATTAGAAATTATTGTTGGGGTTTTTTTTTTTTATAAGTCTTAAAACATAATTTCTTTTCATACAATTATTATAAAACTATTTCCGGAGATAAACTGCCAGTTGTCCTACAATAATAATTATAACAAAATATAAATTGCACCATACCAAACTGATTGCTCTTTTTTAATACTAAAATGGCAAATTGAATGTTTTTATTGAGTTTATCATGTTATAAGATGAATTTGAATACATTTTGTATGTATTTTTATATAATTTTTAACACACGATTTGAAAATCCTAATACTAAACTTGCTTTATTTTTCAATTTACAAAACTAAAATTTTTTTTTTGTTATAAGGATTTGAACACATTTTTTGGACTTGTTACTTCTGAAACTCGACTTTCAATAGTAGAATTGAGTCTATTATTGATCTGAAACTCAAATCTTTACAATGTCATAATAAACGAAGAGATTGATGAAAATAAAAAGTTCATACAATATATCACAATATTATCAAATTCTTTTTTTTGTGAACCATTAAAAAAAGGTCTCTTGTTTTTTATGTTTTATTTGGTTCGCAAGTTATGATTTCTAAGTTTAAAAAATTGATTTAAAATTTGTGTTTGTATAGTTAGATAAGGTCCATTTTTCCATCATTACGCAAAACATTTTATTGTGTCTGGTTATTAGTGTTCTCGCGCATCGGACAATATGGACATAATTATGAATTTTATGGGATACTGGAATTGTAAAAACCATATGATAATTATTATCATACGGGAAAATGTAATATCTTTGCAAAGTCATAGCAGATGATGCATCAAATTCAATCTTATAATTGCAAGTCGAGTTTCAGAAGTAACAAGTCCACAAAATGTGTTTAAATTCATCCTATAACATAAAAATCTCTAACATTCAATTTGCAATTTTAGTATTAGAAATAGCAAGCAGTATTGGGACAAGATAATAACGGAATAAATATAAAGGTAACCAAATAGATGTAAAATAATTACGATATTTTTATCTAGATAAATCCCTACACTGTTTGCAAATTAATAAGTTAAGTGTATTGTATTTTAAGATAATTTTGAATACATTTAGTAAACTTGCAAATAAAAAAACACAATTTGATAAATAACTAGTTAACCAAATTAGGTAAAAAAGTTATTTTATCACCTTGGTAACCATAGTTACCAATGAAAGTCATAACAGTAGTAACTATTACCAAGGTTATGGTTCTTTTGTTTAAGGTTACCAAAGTTAAGGCGCTATTCCTCTGCTACCGTGATCGCGTACAACGTTTTTTCGTGGATTCGGTAATTTGGGTTTGGTATAATATGTTTGATATTGGTATTGTTTATAATTTTTTAAGAATTTTATCAAACTTATTATAAATATTAAAAAGTATACAAAAATCCATTGTTTTGTAAATTTGGATATTTTTCATGACATTTTTAAATGAGTAAATCAAAGTCACCATGGTTATGATTACTACGGTTACCGTGAATATGGTTACCAAATTTACTCTATTATTAGTTACCAAAGTCTACCAAAGTCACAATGGTTATGGTAATCACGTCACTATGGTTATGGTTACCATGGTTACCACACCTAGAATAGAACTATAACCTTAAGGGGTTTACATGCCGTTTTTTTAAGGAGTTTTGTATAGGGAATACTAAAGAAAAAAGTTGTTTTAATAAATGTCAACCATGTCAATAAATTTATCGGTTAGTTTTGTATAAGCTCCATGTTATTATTTTTAATTTAAATCATTTTGTTTATGAGTAAAAGCCATTTTAGTATTATGTATATAAAATGTATATTTTTTGTTCTATCACACAGGCTGAACCAGTAGTCCGATAAGTAATCCGAAAATAGATTTGAATTCGTCATGAAGTTTACTTGAGATCGGACAGCGTACTATTTTGATATCTTATTCCTACTATGTAGGTATAAAACATGTTTAAACATTATATAAAATCTTAAATTTTAAAATCAAATTGGGAAAGGGTTAAAATTGAAATTTAAAAAGGTACCCTAACCGGTCCTAAGTAAACTTAATGGCGAATTTAAATCTGTTTTTTAGATTGCTTATCTGATGACTAATTCGGCCTGTGCAATGGAATAAAAAATATGTGTTTTTCACTGAAAAACCCGACCGCATGCAATCCCCTTAATCATTTTCTCAAAAATCTTTAGTTAACCTTTTTTTTATCAAGGAAAACCCAGGAAAAGGCGAAAACTACACTTTGAAAGTATTAAATTTTTCAGGTTGCTATGTGTGAGTGAATAAACAGTTAACATTTTGTACGGCAATACATTTTTAAAGACAGACAAATGATAATCACTCCTAATCGTATACACCCTAGTACTAAAAATTAATTTTTAAGTAATAGTACACAATTGTCATTATTTACAATGTATTTAAATGATATTTGTATTTTTATCTGTGAATACTGCACCGCCCTTACTTACTCACTTACGTTTAATACTTTCTTACTGTGCTTGGTTTGGACCGTACTTGTTTATATCTACTATCTACAGATTCGAATCGAAGCGTTTATTTAAAGGTTATTTTATCATTTTCAGGTATAATAATTTTTGTGTACCTGTGACATACCCGTCCCATTGTACTGGCTTTTTAAATTTATTATTATCGTTGTTTTTAAATTTAAATTAGTACAAATTTTGTTACTCGTGTGGTGAACGCGTGGCGTCGTTATCGACTGCCACCATATTTTTAGGAAACAAAATATATTAAATTTGTAACACAGGTTTTTGTGCAATCAATTACGGTTTTAATAATGCACAAGAACTAATAGCAAGTTTACAAACGGCGAGTGCCAAAGCAGTTTTACAAAAAGCGAAGAATAAGAATCGGTGCCTACAGCATTTGTCTCTAGCCACGGTGAAAAGGCCATATAGATGATCTCGATGCGTAATAATTATTATCTTCTTCTAAGGAGTTTTCGCTTTCGTCTGATGAGTGTAAAACTTGTGGAAATCCAAGTTGTAACTGTTCCTTAACTGATTGTACTGGTACGTTTATGTCCTCTAAGCTTATTTGCGACCATTCTTCATCAATTTTTCCGTATCTCCAGTTGGTATTTTTTCTATCCCCTAGGATACAAGTACCATCAGTCGGGTCAATCTGAATTTTTTTTATGTATGAATTTGGAAATTGTGTACTCAAGTATAAACCCATCAAACGACACACCCGTAATACAGAGGGTCCACCATCTAAAAAATATGAATATTTTTTCTTAATTTGCTAAAGTTAGATTACTAGTTACTACTATTCTTTATGGTACAGGACCCAACTATTTTATTTGTTAGTATGAAGTCATAAAAAAAATAATACAATAAGCAAGGTGTTCGTATTGTACAGCCATACTATTTGTATTACATGCATTTATGTGTTAGTAGTCATAACAAGTTCGGTTAATTGTTAAAATTAATATCAGTTGTATTCTTGTTCCTAATTAAATATATCTTAAAAATTATTTATATCAATGTAAGATCAAAAACCATACGACAACATAAAGATATTTACCAAGAACACGTAAGATTATTTGTTTTAAAGCTGGAACAACAAGTTCTCTTCTATTGTCTCCAAGGGTTTTCAATTTTCCCCAAACTACGAAAATAATAAAATTATGAGAAAAGTATTAAATGACCAATTTGCGAAGAAATAATAAAAAATAAATAATATTTTAGTTGCTATAAAATAAAGAAAATATCAACTCTTTAACAGGCTTTTAAGGGTATATTCGACTTTAAAAAATTCGTAATTACATTGGTATCTTACTCCATACAATTGAATTCCTGTAACAAATATATCAAACATGAAATCATTATGAAGTAAATAAAACTCGGTTAATATATATTATAAATTACAGCCACTCTAGAACTGAGATTAATTAGACCAATTAATCAATGCAAATTATTGTGTAAATGTGAATTCATTTCTAATAGAGACGTTTGAGTAAACGTTTTACATTAAAATGTCGAATGATTCTTAGAAGTTTAATCATAAAACACACATACATTTATGACCAAGTTATAAATCAAGATTTTTTTCAAATTTATAAGTAAGAGTAACTATTATTTTTATTTTATTTTATAATTACCTAATATAGATGCCATTTCTGTTAGCATTTTTTCATGGAAAAACGTGGCATCTAAAATTTAAAACAAAATATATTTTTAATGTACCTACATATTTTTTATGATTGAAATGTTATATTGGTATTTGTAGATATATACGATTATTCTCAAAGTACTTGTGAGTAATAAATATCCAATAAGTATAATAAATGTGCAATACTAAAATGTGTTTTACTTTTCAATATGTTAGAGTGAGGTCCTGAAATGAAAACAAAAATATTTTGTGCATAAATGTATCAAACAACTAAGTGGAAACCCTTCCATAATGTGCAACAATAATTATTACCCAGTACTTTACGGATCATTTTCGGACGTTCTGAAATTAACACTACATTAGTTAATGTTATTGCATTTAATTTTCTATTATATTATAAACAGGAATACGAAGCCAAGGTAGAAAAAACAGGTGTATTAGTAATTTGGAAGAAATATACTCCACTGTATATTATTCTATACGATGGGAATTACTTTGGAAAATTCAATAGTAATGAAATATTGAAAATATTTTCATAAAATGTATTAAAAACTTTTACCCGGTACAGCGATCAAACAATTAATTTTGCCTGAAATTGACATTACATAAATTAATAATATTGGATTTTATTTGTTTTTTTTTAAATATTACATTATAATATAATTATATACTAGAAGACAAAGGTCAAAGTAGAAAAAAAACTATATTAAATAGATTAGGAAATCTTTGCAAATATAATGGCTGAATCGATGCAGATTTTGAAGATGCAGTTTTTATATTTTTTTCCAGTAATTTTTTCTACTTTTATCTTTTTGTAGTTTTATGATTATTTTAATAATGGTTACGGAAATCCTTGTAAATATGGTCATCATCAATCATTAATTCAATTATATGCTCCAATCCATCTAGAATAAACAAATGAAGATATTAAAATCAAATCAAATTAAGTAAAATGCAAATTATTGGAATAATATTAAACCATGAAATAGCCATTTAACTTAACGCTACTCTCTAGATTAGGTTATTAGAAATCGCTACATTAAAATATATGCTCTAAACACTGTTCTGCATTCCTGGAGCACTTTTCTGAACTACATAGAACAAAACATATATATATATATATATATATTATATTAAGTTAGTATATTATTTTAAATTCCCTTAGGAGAACACTCTGTTTTACGGGTGTAGGGAACCCGGGGCTCTAAGCTATGGCGTAGGGAAATTGGCGCTCTCATCATCCGGTACTAAGGTATTGTAACAGCCCCTTGCTGGTGGAAAGTTCCAAGCGAACGATTCCAGCAAGGAGAAGGGAAAAATTCCTCAACATATTGGGTCCTCTATCCATGGGGATTTGACGTGAGGCTAACCTCGGATAAAAAATTATTTGGAAAAGTTTAATTTTTGAACCTAGAATGTGCGTTCGCTATACGTGACAGTTGTAGAATATATTTTGGAGGATTACGGAATTTCTATAACCGCAAGAATTTTGATGGAAAGGAGAAGGAAATGTGAAATCTAAGAAATTTGCTGTTTCTTTATACCGGTGGACTAAAGCATGAAAAAGGAGTAGGATTTATTGTTAACAAAGAATATTTAGCATATTTAAAAAGATTTGTATGAATGTACTAATAACCTTTGGGACATCCGCTAAAACAGTAAGAATGATTAAAATATGTATGAATAAAACGTGATGTAAAGTCAAATTCAACTCTTATCAGATTAATTTGAAGTCAAAACTAGACTTTGTCAGGAAGACACCTTGTCACCCGTACTCTTTAATATATCACTAGAAACTAGAGCTGAGACCTCGAATCGAATTTTTCTAATATTTGAATTATTCGAATAATCGAATAACACTATTCGTATGAAAATAATTCGAATATTCGAATAGTAATCGAATAATTCGAATAGTAATCAAATAATTCGAATAGTCGAATTTTCGATTATTTTGTCAAATTGATGTTTTTTTATAATTATATATCTATATAAATTGTTAAAATCTTATTTTTTGTAATAAGTAATAATATTTATTTTATCAAAAGAATAGTTCGTTATAATTATATTTATTCTGTTAAAAAATTATTAAAAATAGATCAAGAACACCTTACTTGTCTCTTAATTATTATTTTTTTTTAGTCTAATTAATCCTGCAAAGAAAATGATAAAATATTCAAATATTCGAAAAATCAGATCGAATATTCGAATAACCTATCGATTATTCGAATAAAACATTCGAATATTCGTTATTCGAATAACGAATATTCGTGTGAATAAAGTATTCGAATATTCCAATTTTTTTTATTCGAATAGTCCCACCACTACTAGAAACGGCCATTCAGGAAACATAGAAAAAATATGGAGGATTAAATTTGGATGACAATGAAAGACAGTGCGGAATACTAGCATACGCAGATGATATTATCATTCTAGGGTCAGATAGTCAAAAAGTACAAACTGGTACCGAAAATCTAATAAAAAATAGTAAAGACATTGGACTACAAAGAAATGAATTAAAGACTAAATACATAGTTATATCTAGACGAAATGATCACGGAGATCATCTAAAAGTTAAATATTATAAATTTGAAACAGTCGTAGTTTCAAATATCAGGGCGTTACAATTATTAGCACAAATAATAACCATGAAGAAACTAAAATAAGAACAACTGCAGCAAATAAGTGCTATTACAGTATAGCGAATATATTCATATCAAAAACCACATTATACAATGTAGTTATTACACCAGTTATTCTGTGTACGTGCGAGACTTGGTCTAAAACCTAAGGAGGTAAAGAAAAAATAGCAATCCTTGAAAGAAAAATACTAAGGAGAATATAAGGCCGAAAAAGTATACTATAACTCAACAATATGAGGAAAGAAGCAATATAGAATTGTGGCAACTATTCAAACAGCCTGATACAGAACTAGTACTGCGATATAGAAAGCGATACATAAATAGAAACCCAAAGGAAAAAGACCACTAGGCAGACAAAAACAAATGGGGATAGACAAAGTCGAAAAGAATCTATTGGAAATTGGAATTCGCATGGGGAAGCAATAGCACAGGATATGGATGAATGGAAGCAGGTATTTGTTGCAGTAATGGGCGTTAATGAACTTTGAAAAGCCAAAGAAGATATTATTTTAATTAAAATATCTTACTTGCTCCAGATCTATCTCCTACAGTCACATCATTCTTATAATGAGCTCGCCTGATGAGATCATCTGTGATACATAATTAAACAAATATGTATAATAACAGTGGGTTTTAAAAGCTTAAATAACATTTATTTATAAAATACAAATGTCACTGACTTATATTATAAACACTCTCCTTATAATCCGCTGTAAAAAAAGTGATATATAAATTTTTTTTTTAAATTTTAACTTCCTTAAGTTGGTAACTGTGAAAATAAAATAATTACATAGATCATTTGCCAAAATATTCACGAAGAATAAAGATATTAAAAAACAGAAGTGTTTCATTTTAATCTGTAAACAATAATAAACATCAAACAAATTTATATTAGTGTCAGTTTCCTCTGGTGCAGAGATGAGTCATGAGACTGTTATGGTTTTGGCAGACACTTTTAATATAATAAATATGTATAAATTTATTTTTATAAATATTTTCCTTGACCCACAAAATTTCTTAGACCGCTAACTGATTTTTTCGTATAGCAAAATAAAAATCTAATTTTAATGGTACTTTATTTGGCTAAAATTACAGTTATTTCACTACATTGAAGATGGACAAAAATAAGTCTCTGTTAACTGTTAAAACTTGAATTTCAAGCGTCTAAACTTAATTACGCACAATGCTTCTTAGTCAACCTATAATGGATTTAAAGCAAAACTATTCATTAGTTTATAGTGGAAAGAAGATAAAATTTTAGAGAGAATGTCATATCGGTTTTAAAAAAATATCCTTAGAATTAAATGTATTACCGTTATAAAAAATTAAAATATCTTTTCAAATAGTTGGTGCACTAAGATGTAGCGAAAAATAAAATTGTATAAATAGTTTTTAGAATACCTCACAAAAGTAACGTCTTGATAATAAAGTTATAGAAATATTTCGTCTAAGTCAAAAAAGGAATATTCCGCAAAATGATTTAGCTCTTATATAGATATAATTTTTTATGAATTGTTGTTTTATAGTTAATTTTTTTGTTCAATTGTTTGATATAAAATAAACTATGTAGTTTGCAGTGTAGAAAAAGCAGTTTAAAAAAAAAACGAAAATTTACCTTAATAATTAACTCAAAGTAAAACAAAATTTGTTTTAAATTTTGGGATTTTTTATTTGGGAATTACAGAAAAATGTTAAAAACAAATCTTTCCTCGTATAATATGCAAAATTTAGTACTTTACAAAGTTATATTTTTTTCATCTTTGTACTGTTGAAACATTTTTAGTTATAGGTAATTGAAAATCTAAATAATTTTGCTGAACATGGCATTTTGACTACACGCCTTTTAGTACACAACTAGCCAAATAACAAATAAGTTATATATCGATTATATAATTCTCTCTCTTAAGTGTGAATTGTGTAAAATTATGATTAATAATCGATGAAAAAATATGTAGCAATAAAAAATCCTTATTATTGTTTTTTTTTACTCTAGAACTTTTCGATCATTAGGCTCTTGCCTTCTTGATGTAAGCGTAATTACAATTATTAGAGTATGATAGAATCACTTACTTAAATTGTGAAGTTGGTAAGACGTTCTTGGACAATAATCGACTTGATTAGCTTTTAAAACTAAGTATTCTCTTCGTGACTTAGATGGGCTTATACTTAGACCGAAAAATCACAATCCAAATAGGTTATTGCGGTGTAAATATAATGTTTACACAACTGGGTCATTTTTTGTTTTTATTATGTTTTATCTTGAACATACGTTACATTAAAGCGGATTTTAGTTAAGGTTTTCTACGAAAAACACTTAAATGGAAAAAATATATTATTGACAGAATAGATTTTTTTTTGAAAATTGTATCTTGATTTTACAAAAAGTGTTTCAACGGTTACACCTATGTAAGTTTAAAACAACTTAAACGATATTGGAATACTAACATTTTAATAACGTACATTGTATGTTGTATTATAGTTAATTAAAAGTGACAAATAATTTTCGGCAATAATTAATAACGCCAAAACAGTTCACGAAACTTCCATAATCCACTATGCAAGGTTTCACTCTAAACTCAATGGTCATATTTTGAACCAACTCGTTTATAACCTCGCTTCTAGATCTTTACCAAACATTGCATTTACAATGTTGTGTTTTTTTTGTGTCTGTGCCCACGATATATTTTAAACCGCTGAACCGGTTTCTACATGTGGCAACTGTACAGATCAAAAAAAATTTTACCTGTAACGTACTCGAATGGACCAAAAATTCAACGTTACCCCTTCAAAACCGAGAAAAATTTTTTTTACATATTTTTCAACATAAAATTACGGCACTCCATAAATTTTTTTTAAAACAGTAGAAATAATTCCAAGTTTGTATGGAATATTCTTTAAACACAGTACAAGCGATAACTAATGACAAACCAAAAAAATATATCATAAGCCCTTTCTCCTAGAAGGGATAGACATTTTTTCTTGATTTCATTTTTCCAAGCAAAGTTTTATGGATGAAGCTCTGACAATTTTACCGAATGGGGCTTTGACATATACAATTTTCTCAAAAATCTGTGTTAAACCTTTTTTTTTATTAGGGAAACCCCCCGAAAAAAGGGGGAATTAAAATTTGACCGTAGTCAATTCCCAGGTTGCTATGTGTGAGTGAACCAATAATCTACAGGTACTGAAAATGATTTAAATATTTTATTAACTAATGTAAAAATAACAATACATTTTTATAGACAGGCGATCAACCCTAATCGTATTGGTTTTTTATCTGTATAATAAAATTAATTCACTATGTAGATATAGCTAAATTTATAAATTATTGTTATTTTCACAACTCTATTATAAAATTGCTCTACAAATTCATTTAGATTGAATTAGAGTTAAATATTTACATACAACACAATTTAAAGAGGTGAATGTTCTTGAGGTCATCTGAAATATATTAAATCACACAAAGGAGCACCTCGTCAAAAGACTTTTATTAGACATTTGTATGATTATGTGTATCGAGAAAAGGTTGTTAAACGGCGTAGACTCGGATGAAATAATCGATAAGGTGGCTAACAAAAGTAAAGTTGTAACAAAATTATTATTTAAAAAAAAATAAATATAAATATATTTTAACAAGATGTTTTGTATTATTATTATAATTTCTCATAAAATATTTCCCTATAACAAAAACAACTACCTATCTGCTCCTGAAATGGGGGGGGGAGAATTTCAGTTCTGGAGAACTTCAGGACATTTCAAAACTCTTAGATCTCCTTGAGAATTTTGTCAAATTTGGAAAAGTTTCTGAGTATCTAGTATGCCTAATTGATATAATTGTTTTTGCTATAACGTAAATTCAGGTTAAATAATATTTACTGTTATTTTGGTTTTGTATTCGACACGCAGCTATACTGTGCAGTGTACATATTACACAACAGCTCAATGTTTGCACTAGCTCTGCTTGATAAAATACGAATAACAAATATGACCGAGGTCATATCTTATATGATCACTTGCATACATAAAAAAAAAAATCAAATAAGAACAAAATTTGCAAAATTGAATGTCAACACAATATAACAATAATTTACTTAATAATAATAATACTTTACTTGATTATTTCACAAGTTATTTCTAAATAAGTTATAGGGCCAAATCTGATCCTCTTTAAAACTAGCAAACAATCGTTCGAACCATGTATAAAAGGTGAAATAAATACTTGCAAATTATGTAGGAAAGGGTTATGATACTTATTTAGTATTATAATATTATCTAAAAAATATCCCACATATTAGTAAGTTGAGAAGTACCTTGGTTCATTTTTTAAAAAGTTATAGCGCAATCCGAAGAGCATAAGGCTTGTAATAGGCAGATACAACCTCACCATAAAAATAAATAATAATTATTTTTCCCATTTTTCCCTCGAAGGAAACACATAGAGTAATTGCGTACAGCTTTTCTTACCTGCGCGCATTTTTCTACCACACTTCACCTCCCATCCTACCATTTAACCTTAAGTACCTTAAAAAATAATTATTCAAATCTGGTTATCGACTAGTCAAAATTTTCAACAAATTATTTTTAACAAAATGGCTATATTACATTTTTTTTTTTTTAAAAGTAACACAAAAAATACACAAATAATTAAAAAAACTAAAATAGTTAAGTGCAATAAAAAACTTAGTGCTTATAGCACAAATAAGTATAAAATATTTTTAAAAAAAAATCTTAAAAATATTCACTAGAGGAAAAGTTATTTCACTTGTCAAATCATTAAGGGCCACCCTGTAAAATACATCAAATATTATATAATAAAATATATTTTCATCATATATGGTTGAAATCAAATATTTATAAGTATTCAAGCCTACTTATATCTACCAAATGATTTTAGAGGGTAAGCTGAGAGGGTAGTAAAAACCAAAAAAAATTGTGAAAACTTGAGATTAATTTTTAAGTTAAAAATGCAAAATAATTCAAAATTTGAAATTTTTCTAAGAATTTTAACGATTACTTAAAGATTTTCTGCATTTAGGCATTTTCAAATTCTAGTTTAGCTTCAATGCAGAGCTGAAATGGTTTTGTTTTTACAATGATAGGTTTTTCATTTTGTCTCTGGACTCACGATACCTACTAAGCCGCTAAACCAAATTCTTAGTGCAGCAATGCTAAAGATAGGAAGTCCTACTTGAAAGGTACATTAGTGGGTCGAACATTTAAAATGTTTACCCTTTTCCCACCTAAATGGAGGAAAATACCCTATATGTATATTAATTTTTAACTCTAAATTACGGCGCTCTATAATTTTTTTTAGAAAAAGCCAAATTTGTTTAAAATTTTTACAGAATATTCTTTAAAAACTATAGACAAACGTCGACAATCCAAAAAACATCATAATTCTTTCCTCGAGATGACGTGGAAACTTCTTCTTTACACCGCTTTTTTAGATGAAGTTTTAAAGTCTGAAAATTGCTAATTAGCCCAAAGGTAGATCTAAAATGTATTGTGGGGAAGTCATGTAGAAAACAGTTCCCACCTCATTGGTTCTGTATTTAAAAAAAAAAAGATCTAAAATGTGGATTTAACATGTACAATTATATCGATGATCTGCTGTTAATTGTTTTTTTTTAATTAACAAGAACACCCAAAAAGGGAATTTTTACATTTTGAACGAAGTTTATTTCTCGGTTGCTATGTTTGAGTGAATCAAAAATCAACAGGTATCAGAAAAATATTAAAATTTTATTATTTATGGATGTGGTGATAAATTATTATAGAGAGACGATCAGCCCTAATCGTATTCACCCTATAATAATAAAAATAGTATTCCACCGTTACAGATTTTTTATTTTATTTTTTCTAAGCACAAACGATGTATATTTGATAGGAATAAAGGCACGTGTTATTGTCTTACAAGATATGGCTTTTCATATTTTATTTTGCACCATTTTGATTTGTCACGATATCAAATTAAGTATCTGAGAGAGTGTTTACCATCTTTTTAATTTACTGTGCCGAAATCTTTCTATAGAATATAATAAACACGTGTATTGTTCGGGCGTTATCTCGACCACCGCCACCCCACACCACCGCAGTGCCCATCACTACCGACTACTACTACTACTACTACTGATACTTCTGCTGCACTACCGACCATCGTACCGACTGCACTGTGCTGCGTCCAGCTGCAGCGGCACCATTTTCGCTTTTGTTTTTTGTATACTTTCGCACCTCACCTTACTAATTAAATCCGTTTTCTTTGCCGTCTACCACGTGTAGTTCTACCTGATACCATCATGGTTTAATAACAACTTATTAGTTTATAAGTTATTCCCCCTCTGTCTATGGTTCTTTTAGCTTAACCCCTAGCCAGATTAATTTTATGGGCATGTTTTTTGATGATACATCGTGCTGATGGAATCCAATAATTTTGGCGTAACAGGCTCTGCATAGCTTGAGTTCCAGGATGACCCTTATCTCGATGTATAAGATCAATTAATAACGCTGTATGTCGTGAACACTTAGGTAACAAAATTGGGCGTTTCCGATTAAAAAATGTTTTGACTTGGGAGGTAACAAATTTTTGTACAAATTTATTGCAAGTGATAAATTTGCAACGTTACTTTTCCATGATACATATTAAAAATGATAGATTAGGCGATGATAACACTTGCTTATCACACAAGGTTGCTATCTAATAACCTCACTTTTTTAAGACTATTTTCTTACGAGGTTATTAGATAAAAGGGTTGCCTCAAAGTCATGTCAACAAATCCAAACCCACCACTCCGTCCCCTATCTAGTGACGTCACCCGTCGTACAAAATTCTGGCGGCCGTATATGTCTAACGTAGTTCAACCAGTTGTTTTAAATTGTATCTACTATATTTAAGAAATAATTTAAAATAATTATTAATTATTTAATATGCATGGCTTCAGAGGTTAAAGGCGATTCACGTTGCGCTGTAGCGTTATGCATTAACTATTCGGGCAAAGTAAAAAATCTTTGAAAATATATGTAATTTCACAGGTAACTAATTTTATTTTTACAGTAACTAGTTAACTAAACTAAAAAGTTTAAGAAAACCAGACGAGTCATTTCACAAATCTTAATTTATGTTTAGCTTTCCCAAGGACAAAAAAAATGGGCAGTTAA